TTGTCACTCATATAAAGGCAATTCTAACCTAACTTTTGTACTTCAACCCTCTCCACAGCAGCAAAATCAACAACCACCTCAGGTTTTCCATTTCCTTTTATTAACCAGTAGTCCCCCACCTCTTGTTGCCCTGTCTGTTCTCCTTGTCAAAGCTTGATCTAGTCAGATCTCCAGTACTTGGGAGACCTCTGGGAATACCAGGTGACACAGTGGGGTGACAGTGGCAGAAGCTGTGTTTGTGTCCATGGGCAAGACACTTCACCCACATTGCCCAGTATGAATGTGGTGTGATGGCGCAGATTGGCAACCTTGCTTACATCAGTCTGTCTCAGGGCAGCTGTAGTATCTTACCATCACTGAGTATAGAGTGAATGACTGATGCATGGAATTGTAAAGTGAGGGTTTGGAAAAGTGCTTGATAAGACTAAAGCATTATTATATGTCCTTGATTCATTCTATACACACAGACTGTCCTCTGAGCTGCAATATGGGAGGTTTTACTGGACTAATAACTGCACCAAGTAAAAAAAGTAACAAGTAGTGTTTGCCACTGAAAGCAAAGAGCATGAAAACCAATTAAACACTGAATAATTTGTGCCGCCCTTTGACGATTTCGGTTTGTGGAGTCACAAACCCAAATCATCTAGTCTAACCAACAGACTAGTGGGCTGTTTATGTCAGATGCCCTTACTGTTGGGACTGGAGAGGACAATGTGGTGAGAGAAGTAACAAAGGAGACAAACACAAGAGTTAACACCATGACAAGTTAATACAAGTATGAATTCGGGTAACAGAATGTGACATGCTGGATTGTAGCAAATGGCTGATGTTCACAGATTTTTAAATAAATGCATGAATCAGCTTGAGAACCAATTAAACAACTTAATTTATAACAAAACTGTCAGAGCATGTCCCAGTGTCCTGTTGCACAGTGAATAAACAAAGTCATCTTTATGAACTATAAACACACACAGCAAAAACTGTAGTGTTAAAATTCACTCTCACAGAATCAATTTTAACTTTTTCTCACAGTTTATCTAAGTCCAATCTGTTTTGGAGTTGATTTAATATTTTTGGAAATTTTAATTAAGTAACACTGGACCAAAGTTCATGTTTAACCCCAAAATCAAGAGTTATATTAATGTTTTGAAAGTAAAAGGTTAACACTTGTAGGGTTATCTTGATTTAGCTACACAACACACAGAGGTGTTTTATTTTTACACTTTTTACTGTATTTAATTTAAGATGAAATTATGTACAAAACTGGTTCAAACTTCTCTCAAGGGAGTTTAAAGTGGTGGGTGGGAGGTGCCAATTTAACACTAGGAGAAGTTGAATTAACTTCAACCACATAAGCTCTGGCAAATAACCCCAAACCGAACCTACATTTAACTCTCAGATAGTTAAAATAACACTTTTTGTGTTAAAAACAACTCTGAAATTTTTCACCCTGAAATTTTAAGCCTCCAGTTTTTGCTGTACACATAAAGGGCCCATATTAGTTATTTTCTGGTCTGTGTTATTATGTTGTTTACTCATAAAAAACATACCCATAGTTGAGTTTTATTTCATTCATACATGTTAGGTTGAACTCTTTTCTTAAACTAAAAACACGTTGTGATGTCATGTGGTAATACAGGAAGTGAATGAAACAAAACACAACTCCAGGTATGTTTTTGAGGAGATAACAGCATTATAACATGTTTTAAACTTCACAAGTGTCAACTTTACGTAATATAGTACTTTTAAAATGTGTTGGTTTATTAGTCATTGTTAGTTAGTATTTTGTATGTGGAGGAGGTTAAATCCAGACAGCTGTCATGGAAATCAAACTTGGATAGAATTCACATGTCCCCCCGGGCTTCAGCTCATCTCTGGCCTCCTACTTGTTTTTCCTCATCAACCGCTGTGCGCAGTCCAACATTCACAGGTGCCAACTCAAGTGCTTTAATGATATGGGATTTCTCCAGCGATTTCAAACCACTTGCATAAGTAATAACAGCAAATTTGATTGAGAAGCTAGAGTCATATAAGCTGCATGCGTCTATGTAAAAATCAACTTCTTGGCTGTGCATTATGGCTTCAATTAACATCAGATAAAGAAAACTGATTTCACATCTGTTAATGATATCTGGCCGTACAGGGATTAGGACCCTAGGCAAGAAATAAATTGCACAACACGTGAATACAAATATGGAAATGTATGCAGTGACACGAGAGCTAATCTAGTTTAGTGCCACATCCGTCTGTGTTATACCTGGCCTTATCATGCCGTAATTGCAGCTGATTGGTCTATTATTGTTGCCGTTAATCTGCCAGTGGGTGGTTAATAAAACAGGCTCATAAGTGATGCTATCAGTCCAGAGCAGGAGCTGTAGGCAGAAGTGGAAGCAAGCAACAAGATGAGAGAGGCCTGGGAAAACACAAATATAGTGGTGTGAGATAGTATCAGATAAGCTAAAATGTGATAAAGGCCTTAAAAGAGAAGTTATAGAAGATAAATACAAGCATTTTGGGAAGACGTTTTGTGAGTTAGACTACCATAAAAATGCTTCTAAGCGTCCATATCACTTTAATTTTACTTTACTTCAGTCATATCTTTTCACTTTGTTTTGTTTTCAGTCAATATATAAACTTACAACTCAAGAAAACAGGCCTACTTGAGTTGTTTGTTCCTAAAATGCTTCAACTAGCTTTTATTTCTGGTTATTATTTGATTATTTTAATTGTTGTTAAAAGGAGCAGTTTCGTTGTAAGTGCTTAAAAATGCTGTCCCTGATTTTAATGTCTTAAAACAGAACCAGTTCATTTCGAACATTTTGCAGAGGTCCAAAGTTATTCTTCACTTATCTTATGCATGTCGAGCATCCAGAGTATTCATTGCCATGATTTTAAGCTTTTCACAAATCTCAGAGACCAGAGGGGAGTTCTGTCATGACAGTAAAGCTAAAAACAACTCATAAATACCAGAGGTGGGGACTTGCAATACGTGACTTGGAATCAAGCCAGATTTGAGTCACTATTTTTAGAACTTGAGACTTGACTTGATAAAATGGACTAAGACTTGGGACTCAACTTGGACTTGAAGGTCAGTGACTTGGGACTTGAGGCCTGTGACTTGAGAAGACTTCAGAAACACTTTTAAATCTGAATTCTTGCTATTCTGACCGTAATGATTCACACTAAGATCTTGTCAAGACATTTAAAAAGGAAAAGTTTAACATTTCTACAACTTACATACTTTATAAAAAGTCATATAAAAATATACTGTGATTTTTTGAAGTACAATTTATCTTAAAAGTCATATAAATTGTAAAAATCTAAGTGCTTTGGATTAAAGACTTGAAATGACTTGAAGCCCAAAGCAGACGACTTGGACTTGACTTGGACTTATGGGCCAGTGACTCGAGACTCAACATGGACTTGCCTGTATTTGACTTGGGGCTTGACTTGGACTTGAGGACAAAGACTTGAGACTTACTTGAGACTTGCAAAACAGAGACTTGGTCCCACCTCTGAGAAACACCACTGAATTATGGGGTCAGCCCTATGTTCCCTCATTTCTAAGATTTTTCTCAAAATTAAACTCTAAGTCATGTCATTTTTTATTTTTATACCACATTTAAAGGGATGACTCAGAGTACTTTCAACTTAGGATCCTTTGCACCATGACCTCTACGTTACATCTGTAGTCAACTACTGCTGGAGGGATGGGTGTAATTGACGACCAAATTGGGGGAAATGGTGATAAAATCTGATGCAAACTGAGGAAGAAAAAAAAAAAGAGAAATGAGAGAACATAAGGCTGAGGAAACATGCACAAAGGGGACTTTTTTTTATACAATATTTCTACAAACTTGGCTCAAATACATGGGGGAAATGGATTCAAGCCCTTCAAATTTGGGTATGGTTTGAATATGCTCTCTTCCTCTTGGTCTGCAAAGTGAATGATTGAGATGGATGACAAACCCCACTCTCCCAGGTACACTGGTCCAAACATCTGTGGGCTGGATGATGTTGTGACAAAGTAGTTTCATCCTCTACAGAGTCCCTTTGTGATTGATGTGGTGCTGGTACTTGGCCTGGCTTCTATTTCTAATCTGGCTGCATAGAGGCGGAAGCTGTGGTCTCTCTTATTAGATTGCCCACCCCATTACCCCACCCCCTTCTGAGCTGGTCGTGCGGGACAGTATCACCACTAGCATGAAGCACCTTCGTGGTCCCAAAGCACGGGGCAATAACGAGAAGCTGACCCCATGATAGAGACATAGGCTACAAACATGGCCGACTGGTGTTTTTGTATTCCACTGAGAAATTCGACAACAGCTGAAAAATTAACTGAACTGGGGAAGAGCAGGCAATGCAGCAAAGACATAGGTAACTTAAAGGTGCACTGTGTAACTTTTTGTTTGAGGGTCTGCCACCTGTTTGTTCTGCTCT